CAAGATCCTCAACGAGATGCCGGCCGAGGCCTGGGCCGACGCCGCCGTGGCCCACGCCCTGAACGTGCGCGAGGCGCTGGCGTTGGGCAACTACGCGGCCTTCTTCCGCCTCCACGAGACCGCGCCGAACATGGGCGCCTACGTCCTCGACACCTTCGCGGACAAGGTCCGCGTCGACGCCGCCGCGAAGATCCTCCGCGCGTACCGCCCGACCATCGACCTCGCCACCCTCGCGTCGCGCCTCGGCTTCGACGACGAAAACGACTGCAAGGCCTACGTGACGAAGCTCGGCTTCCTCTTCGACGACGCGGGCGCCGTCAAGTGCAAGGAGTCGAAGTGCGACGCCGCGGGCCTCGTCGAGGACGGCGAGCAGAAGTCCTCGCTCCTCTAACTCTAGATCCGTGGGACGCGCGTTCCAAGGGCCGGCTCGCCTTTTTGGACCCGTCGCGCGAGCACCGAGCTCCGCGGCCGGGCGCCCCTAGGAAAGCGCACACCCGCCGTTAGCGCCGCGGTGGCACCTTGAGCTTCATGCCCGCGGCGGTGCGGCGCATGCCCTGGGTGGGGCTGTCGGCTCCGCCGTCGCCGGCGTCGACGTCGGCGGACGGCGCGCCCCGGGGCGTGAAGCCGCCGGCGAACGCGCCCGCGGGGCCGAAGCCGCCGCGCGGCGTGAACGCGCCGCGCTTGTCCTCGATCTGCTCCGGGAGCTCGACCTGGCCCCTCAGCCTGGGGTGCTGGGCGAGGGCGGGCAGGAACTGGGTCCCTAAAAAGGCCTCGATGGACTGGTCGAGCATCTTGTAGGGGTCGGGCTGGAGCATCTGGGCCACGGCGGCGAGGCACTCCTCGAACTCCGTGAAGACCATCTCGACGTCGGAGCCCGGGAGCTCGACGACGTCGCGGCTCCGGTTCCGGTGGCTGCCCACCGTGCCGTCGGTCTTCAAATCCTGGATGACGACGTCGTCGTTCTGGACGTAGGCGAAGATCGTCCGGCACGCCATCTCGGAGCAGAGCGGGCCGATGACCTTGGCGAAGCGGAGCATGACGACCATCTCGTCCGCGTCCATGGTCGACGCCGGCGACGCGCTGTCCCAGGACGCGAAGACCTTGAAGACCGTCTTGAGGTTCTTCCGGTGCTTGAGCTGCACGGAGCGGACGACGTCGCCGTGGAGCCGCTCGCGGAAGACGTCCGCGTCGATCTGGCA